TCGGAGCGGAGTGGCGAGGGCATGAATGTACGGTGGAAGCTAGTGTACGAGTGCCCGGTGCAGGGCGGGAGGAGATGTGGACAGACAGGAGTGTATATACGAAGCCACACAAGCGCAGGGAGTACAGTGGAGGGAAGGGGGCAGGTGGCACACGCCGTGTCGCGGGCGTGTGCGGGGCCAGGACAGGGGACGGATGTGGCGAGCGAGACGGCCCCGGCAGAGGACGGGCTGTCCAGTGTGCAAAATCTGGAGGCGTCAGGCGGCATAGGCGGTGCGGTCCATGGCCAGGGCAACGAGGGTCACCAGGGCCGGGGGGCTTAGGTGGGAGATCCCGAGCAAATGTTTAGAAAATTAGCGGACGCGCTGAGACGAAAGAAGCAGGCGGCAGGTGGGTGCGGGGGGTAGAGTAGTGAGACGGGCAAGGGAAAGCAGCAGAAAAGGAGTTTTAGGACAGCGCCGGAGATACAGACGACGGCGAATTTCACGACAAGAAAGAATACGTATGCGAGCATCGCATGGATCGCGCGGTTAAAGTCTGTTCGAATCATTGATCATTGTTCATCTCTCTCGGATATGCCTTTGAGCCTAAAAGGACGATCTCCACATCCACCTCCACCACCTGCACCGCCGCTTCATGTATTCGGGAACATTTTCTAGATTTGTGCCCCATGTCTATGCCCGGGCGCGTGCGCTCTCCCCGTCCCCTCCCTCCGAGGGCCTACTGACTGAAGACGGGCTGCCCCCCCGGTCGAAAGCCCGGATTGACCAAACGGACCCGGTGCGTCTTGCCCATCCCCGCGATCAGGGCCATGTCCTCCTCGGAGAGTTCAAAGTCGTAAATGCCCGCGTTCTCGGCGATGCGCGAGAGGGTGACGCTCTTGGGGATGACCACGTTCTTCTTCTGAGCGTGCCAACGGAGGATCACCTGTGCGGGGCTCTTGCCGTGCTTACGGGCCAACCGCTCAATCACGGGGTCTCGGAGCGCGCACGGCTTACTCGCATCGTTGGGGTCCAGGTTCGCCAAGGGGGAGTACGCGCAAAGGGCAATGCCCTGGGAGTGGAGGAAGGCGCGCATCTCGTCCTGCGGGAGGTAGGGGTGGCACTCGATCTGCACACAGACCGGCTTGATTCGAGCCACGTCCAGGATCTCTTGCACTTCTTGCTCGTTGAAGTTCGACAGCCCTATCGTTTCCACCAGGCCTGCGTCCACCAGCTTCTCCATCTCCTTCCACACGGCTTTGTTGTCGCCGTTCGGGTCGCTTAAATGCCGGCCCTGGGCGTCCTTGGGCCACAAATTTTCCTCTCCCTTCACTTTCTGGAACGCGGTTGGCCAGTGGATCAAGAGCTGTTGGATCTTCGGTAGTTTCAGTTCCCGCAAAATCCGGTCGCAGGCGGGCCGCACCGCATCGGGGTGGTGGTCCGTGTTCCACAGCTTGCTTGTAATCCAGACGTCATTCATCTCTTTGATATATCCCTTCGCTCGCGCCTCATGCAGCCCCTCTCCAACCTCGCATTGGTTCTCGTACACCTGAGCTGCATCTACATGGATGTAACCCAGGCGCAAGGCCTCCACGACTGCGTCTTTAACCTTGCCTTTGTCAGATCGCCACGTACCCAATCCCAGGACTGAAAAACACACATGAAACGTCGGAAAGATTGATCAGAAAAATTCTATGGGAGTAATGCCCACCCCGATCCCCCCTCCACTTACTTGGCATGTTGGCGTGTGGATCACGCGAAGTAATAGAAAGCTGCGTCGCCATGATGTGGGCGTGCTTGAATACCAGTGATGGTGCCTGTCGTGGCCAGGTCAGAAGCAATACGAGGAAAAGGGACCCGAAGAGAGGACGAGGAATCATTTTCCTGAATGAGGGTCAATCGGGAGGTGGAATGAGGAAAAAAAAAGTCCCCGTGTGCACGTGTGCGTGTGCCGTGCGCGAGACGCCCCATTGTTGTTGCCATGCAGTCGGACATGGAGGCCATAGCGACCTGGAGCCGGGAGGTTAACTCCGTATGTGATGCACTTCACAGCCTCTGCGATGCCCGCAGACACGCTCTATCAAGCTATGCCCCTTCCTGGCGACCTTGCACTTCGTGTTTGTATTCCAAAACATACTTATCGTCTAATGTCCTTAGCATCGTCTCAAAAAGGAATGATCAAGGCCTGAAAACGCGTATAAATAGCGCTAGCCGTTGCCAGATGAAGCGTTTGAACGTACTTTCCTCCATTGTCTGGCGCTCTGGACTGGGAGGCGTCACCTGTTACACAGCAACTATACCCCACTATGGCGCCACCAATGGGGCGTTTTCCTTCTGCGCTAGCAGCACCAATAACATGGCAGACGGTGCCTCCTCACAGGCCTCTGGCGGAGACTCAGAAGCGGAGAGCCGGGAAAAGAGTAGGAGTTCTGTCAGCCACCCGGCCTTTACAAAAGTCAAAGGGAGCAAGACCACGCCATCTTCGATAGACATTCCGCCTGATAAACTCTCTCTGGAAAAGGTTCTGGCGGACATGAAGGAGGCAAGCCGGGCAATGGGGGGGACGCTGAGGGGAGAGGAAGCCCTCGCCTTGGTGGCCTTGCTGGCTCGCGAAACGGTCCATCGGCAGACAAACGCCCACCGGGACTCTACACGCCCGCAGCATCTGTCTTCCTCGTTGACATTTCCGCCTTTGTCGGGAGCGAGGCGTCGACGGAGAGCGAAGCAATTCCTGGAGTACGCGGTGTTGTGCGAGAACGCCTACGATTTCTCGGAGGGCAAGGATTGGCTCGAGCCGCCCGCTGGTTTCGAGAGCGTGTCTCGGTGGGACTTGCTCTCCTTTCACAAGGGCGGGGTGTGCATTCCTCGCCATGTGGTCCTGCGCGTGGATGGTGGCGAGGGCACAAGACATCGGCGCCGGAAAACGCGCGTGCTGGTGGTGGTGAGGGGAACCGCCGAGGTCACGGATGCAGCCATCAACATAGCCATGGTGCCAGGAGGCTGGACGCACCGGGGGAAGGAGTACCAGTGCCACCAGGGGATCGTCGAGTCGGCCGAGTTTCTGGCGCGCATGGCCCGGCCCGTGGTGTGGCGCGCCTTGGAGGGCCTGCGACAAGAGGGGGGGGACCCGGGCAGCGAGGTGGAGGTGGTGCTGACAGGGCATTCCCTCGGAGGCGCCACGGCGGCCGTAGCGGCCCTGAAGCTCCAGGGCGAGTTCGGTCCCCGCGTGCCCGTCAAGAGCGTGGGCTTCAGCACCCCGGCCAGCCTCGCCATCGACCTGGCCTCCGCCCCCGCCACCCGGCGCGTCGTCACCACGCTCGTCCAGGGCGCGGATGTGATCCCCCGGTGCTCCACGCGCAACCTGCAGGAGCTCAAGCGCCGGGCCCAGAACGTGCTTGTGGAGGAGGAGGTGGAGTCGATCAAGCAGATGGTGCGGGAGGAGCTGGGCCGACGTGGAGACGCTTGGGGCCGGGAGCTGACGGGCCTGCTCCTGTCCACGGCAGAGGGGGCCACGCAGCAGCTCCCGGGGGCCTGGCGGGACATGCTGCCTCCCATCTTGAAGGCGGAGGGTCGGGAGACGCAGGGCGTGGGCGGGCTCAAGGCGGCCTTCGGGGGGATCTTGGCGCGGTACCTCCCGGCCTTGGCCCCGGAAGGGGGGGGCGGCGAGGACAAGGAAGAGGGCGCAGACGGGGGGGAGGGGAACCGGTCCAGGGGGGTCAACGCCACGGAGAGAAGCAGGGATGATGGGCACACGGCCCTCGAGGGCGGGGCAACGCTCTCCACGGAGGCGAGGCGAAGGCTTGAAGAGGTTCTGGGCGAATACCAGGCCGTCCTGGACGCGGAGATCGCCTTCGCCAAAGACCAATTGGAGCGCATCAAGCGCCAGACCTTCCAGTACTACCTGCCATCGTCCTTGGCACCTCCAGCGGTGTCGGACGGAAGGGGAAAGGAGCTTACCCACGGCCAGGAGGGGGGGAAGGAGGTTATGGAGATCGGAAGAGCGTCGTGT